AGGAATTTAGGGTCCCTGAGGCTGCCCCACCTTCCCCAAGCTAAGCCCAAATCTGCTCCCTGAGTCTCCAGCTCACAGCCCCACGGACTCCCCCGTCTACACCGTCTGCTCCCTCTGCTCAGCTACTTGGGCCCCCACCTCTCCTCAGGGTGTCGGGCACACTCCTGCCTGTCGCTCTGCCGGCGCCGTCCCAACGACAGCACTGCACCCCTAAATCCACAGCCCACTACCCTCCCTCAGGTCTACGCTCGCACGAGGCTTCCCCAACAAGGCCTGTCCGACCACCTGCTGGTGCTGCCCTGTCCACATGCACCCACCAGAGCAGCCTCCCTCGGAAGCGGAGGTGGCATCGAAGGCGACCCTGTGTAACCTGCTGAGCGGAACGCCAGTGGGAGAGGCGTGAGCCTGGCCGGTCTGCCTCACTGTAGCCCTGCGACACCAAGTGGCCAGGTCCCTGAACCCTAACTTGTTGGGGCCTCGGTTTCCTTCACTGTAATAGGAGGCTCCAGCCCAAGTCACCTCTGAATCCTCCAAAGCCGAGGTGAGTGACTCCACTACTTGGAACTGGTTTTGACGGTCCCTTTAACACAAAGCAAACTGTCCCTCTCCGCTGTGCAGGGCCCGTCCGTGGAGGCACCATCGTCCTTGTCGGCCCCCAGTGCCTCCGAGGGACGGGTCCAGTCACAGGACAGATGCTGCGAGGAGCAGAGGCGGGACAGCCAAGCACAGGCCCAGAGGGGCGGGCAGAGCACGCAGGGCGAGGCCTCCCCTAGCCCGCACAGGTGCACAGCACAGGAGACACGCTCCTCACCGCCAGCGTGTTCTCACAACAGCCTTCCCCACATTAGGATGCAGGCTCACTTCTCTTTAACAGAGCGAGGTAAGGCCATCCGGACACCTGCAGGCTGCACGCCGGATGTGACAGCCACCAGCCGGGCTGCCCACACACCTGTCGGCGGTGTGTCCCGGTCTCACTGGCTCCTGAAGCGACCAATGGGCACAGGCTTTGGCCACACCAGGCACGAGGCAGACTAAGCAAAGTCTCCACCATCTCAGCACCACGCCTCGTGCCCTATAGTGATGCAGGGCAGATCTGCCTCTGTCGCAACCAGGAGCAGAAGCAGCCTCCAGCCAGAGCCCCTCTCCACATCCAAATGCTGGTGACAAACAGACGCAGTGCCAGTGCCGTCTCCACTCCCAGCTAAAGACTCAGAGATGCCCCCAGGGGCGCCATCACGAGAGGGCCGGAGGCAGCCTGCAGCTGCTGCCCATCGCAGGAGGCGGGAAGCGGAGGAGACTGTTCACGGCGTCACAGCACCGACCCTGCCTGCGCCCGAGGACGCCGTCTCTCCCTCGCCCGTGGCCGGCTCTGCGCGGCCTGGCCTCCTGCGTGAGGTGTGCGTGTGAGCAGGCCCAGGGACACCCTCGCTGGCTGTCACTTACCCTCGCTTCCTTCACCTCTTCAGAGCCATCAGCTTCCTCCTCCTGAAAAGGGAAGAGTAGGAAACAAGGTCACCGTCACGGACGCCTTGGGAGCAGGGTCAGCCGCCAATGACCCGACAGGCAGCCTGGGGGACAGACAGCTCGGGGCGTCCTGCTGCCACAGCTGGGAAGAACTCTGAGGCCACAGACTCATCTCCCCTGTCGACAGTCAGCCCACAGTCCCACGGCTGTGAGCATCTCCTGAGAGCACAGTTCTACAGAAGACACTGCCCTTTCTTCCCCACCGAACAGGTCAGCTAATTTCAAAGGAGTTGTTGGGAACCAGGGGTCTCTTAAAACCCCAGTGATGGAGCGGGGGTTGGGGGGGAGAGTGAGAGGGGGGCAACTTAAAGCTCCGGACGGGGTCTGCGGCCAGCAGCACAGTGCGCCTGCCTTTGTGCAATGCCAGACTCAACCTGTTCTGTATTTTTTTCCTTCCTCAACATGTTTTTTTACGATCCCTTCCTTTTTCCTCCAAGAGAGCAAGGCTGAGCCAGAGGGACTGGTTACTTCCCGAGGTGCCATCCCTGCGAGGAGGTCCGGGCGGCACGGCTCTGGGGCGTGGGGAGGACGCCGAGGGCTGGGCTAGCTTCCAGGTTGCAAACAGTGGTTTTCACACATCACCCGTTGTGACTGAGTACCTACTATGTGCCTGGCGCTGCTCCAGGCAATGGGCCCCCAGGAACACCCTCACGAGTCCCACACGAGTTCCCTCTCCTTTCTGTCCCACAGACACTTCCTGCCACCGGCACCCTGGGGCCATGGGTGGGCCTCTGACCTCAGCACGGAGGGTGACCAGGTGCTGGGACAGGTGCCAGCAGACCGTCCACTTACGTCCTTCGTCCAGAAGCTGATGCCCGTGCCCCTCCGCCGCTCCCGGGGCCGCCTCCGCTCCCGGGCGGACAGCCCACCGGCACACGGGTCGTCCACCCCTGCCTCTTCGCTCTCTGGGGGGAGAGAGGTGTGAGCACCAGGACCAGGGTGCGGCCCGAGGACGCTGTCGGGAAACGCCCGGAGGCTGCATTTCCGGGAGCTCTACGCACCGTCTCTGTCCATGTCCTTGGCCCCGGAGCCCTCAGCGTCGGAGGCTGCTGGCCCGCTCGTCCGCAGCAGGTGGGAGCTGGTGTAGAGGGCGGGTCTCGAGGCGGTCGGGGACACGGCGGTGGTGGGCTTGTCCGGCTGAGCTGCACTCCTCAGGCGACGGCACACAGGCTGGGGGCCAGCCACAGGGAGACGTGAGTCCAGCCCCACCAAAGGGCATGCACAGCGGGCTTGCTGGGCTGGGCTTTTCTACACCCAGAGGGTCGCCAGCAGTAGACGCTCAGGAAGTAGCTAAAGCTAGTTGATTGCCGGAAAGGAGATAGTGATGGCCTGGCCAGGGCACAGGCAGCCTGATGTTGGAGAAAACCCCCAACTTTGGAATGAAATAGAAGGACAAGGGCCTCAGGATGAAGCTCCACCCACCCACCAGCACAGGCCTGTGGCCTCACGAGCTCACCTCTTCCTCCTGACCCCGGCCCCAGGGCTGGCGGCCTTCCCCGGTGTCCTTGGCGGGGAGTGTGGACGTCTCGTGCCTCTCGGCGCGGCCCTCCAGTCCTTCGGTACCCAGCTTCTGGCCGGGCTGGTCCTGAGCCTGCCGCTCTGCCCGAGACCTGCTGAAGGTCCTCTCTGCCTCCTGCAGGTCTGTCAGGGTCACTCCCTGGGGAGAGAGGACAGATCAGAGAGGGGCCAGCCTGACCAGGACCCCACATCCCAGCTCCGAACAAGGCCCTCAGCACGGACCATCTCCAGCACACGGACTTAAAAGTCAACCTGAGTGTGCAGAGCCCTGTCCCAGAGGACGGCCGAGCCTTGCTGCTCCTCACTGCCAGGCAGCGGCGCTGCATGGTCAGTGACAGCCCTGCGCTCGCCAGACCCTAGTGGGGGGACCCTTGGGTTGCCAAGGACAGGAAAGGAGGCCACACCCACCTGCGTCGACCTACGCGTCTGCCGGGCCTGCCTGGAGCGCGCTTTCCTCAGAGACTCAGCTTCCTCATCGCGGACGGGCGTCAGGTACGACCTGCGGAGGGATGGACGCAGTGAGGGTCTGCCCAGCCCGTCCAGGAAGGCGACGTGTCCGCACCCTCAAGTGGGTCCCACCTGCAAAGAGCGAAGGCGGGAGCCGGCAGAGGCTGTGGGGACACTAGACACAAAGCAGCACTGAATCGTTGGGACGCGGTCTTTTAGTTTAGGGCCCTCCCCCACGTCCTGTGAGAGACCGCAGCGCCCCCACCGCGATGGCCCGCCCCGCAGCGACGCTGGGCGAGCTGAGAGGAGGGGCTCCTTGTCTGTCTGTGGGGACGTGTGTAAGACTGGGGTCTGTCCTCCTTAACTCAGGTCTGAAAGAGGGGCTCCATTTCTTCACTACACTCAGGCCTATTCACATTTCTGTTTGGTGATCTGACCACAAAATGGGCAGAGGATTAAACAGACCTTTATCCAAAGAAGATGTACAGATGCCCACAGGGACGGTGCTAGAGGCCACTCACCACCAGGGAATGCAAATCAAACCACAGTGAGGTGCCACCTCACGCCTGTCCGAATGGTGTCATCAGTAAACCAACAGCAACAAGTGCTGGCGGGGACGTGGAGAAAAGGGGGCCCTGTGTCTGCTGGTGGGAATGCAGACTGGTGCAGCCACTGTGGAAGAAATACGGACTTTCCTCAAAAAATCAAAAACAGAACTGCCTTTGGACCCTGCAACCCCACTTCTAGGCATTTATCCGAAGGAAACAAAAGCACTAAAGATGGGGCACAGACACAGTGAGACACTGCTCAGCCGTAAGGAAGGAAACCCTGCCGTGTGCTACATGGAGGGACCCGAGGGCGTCGGCCAGTGACACCGTCAGAGAGACGAGTCGTCCACCTCACTGTCATGGAATCTAGACGCCCCAAGCGCAGACACAGAGCAGAGTGTTGGGTGCCAGAGGTCCAGGGTGGTGGCTGCACTGCGGATGGACAGGCGCAGAGGCCAGCAGACCCTAAGCGTCCCCACAGAAGGGGGCGGCTGCCCTGTGTGTGCTGAGGGGGTCACCGCAGCGAGGCCCAGGCACAGGGTTCTGCACAGTCGGCTTGTCCTCCACGGGGGCCGCTCACACCCTCTGCAGCCGCTCCTCCGGGAGACACACTCCGGCAGGCCTGGCACCCGCCGTCCAGCGAGACGGCACTGCCACTCACACACAGCCGATGGGATGGAGAAGCTTGGTTTTACGTTAATTTAAGCCTCGACAGCTCCACACGGCTACGCTCCCACACTTGGCGGCACAGCCCGAGAGCCCACTTATACGACCCCAACCCTGGACCCCTCTCGTCTCCCATGAACCAAGGCAGGCAGCCGGCCAGTGACGCTGAAAGCAGCTGATGCGACTCCTCAGGACACAGCCGCCCTTCCCACCAGGCTCCCGGGCCTCTACCCTGTCACAGGCTGAGGCGGCGGCGCTGGCTCCCACCTGACACTGACAGGGGCAGCCCAGACCAGCTGCCTCCCCCGGACGCCCCCTTCCCTCTGCCTCGACCACAGACGTACCTCCTTGCGCAGGCCTGCATGGCGGCGGGAAGGTCAAAGACGCGCGGGGGTGGACGGCCAGAGAGGTGTGTGGCTGTGGGGAAGAGGCAGCCTCGGCACCCACTCCCTGGGCACCCGATTGCTGGTGTGCTGGCAGCTGCCACCCAGCTGGACGCCAGGCCTGTGAGTGCGAAGCTGCCGCAGAGCGGGGGTGGGGGTGGGGGGCAGGAAGGCAGATCCTGGGCTCAGCAGAGCCAGTGCCGGTAACAGTTCCCAAACACACTGCATGAGATGCTATTTCATCACTGTCCGATCAATACTCCCGTCCGCGGGGAAGGCGGGGCGCGCAGGGAGGAAGATGCAGGACGCAGCTCGGGGAGGAGTCCTAGACACGGTTACACCTGCCCTTGGGCGACCCTCAGGCTGCCCGTCCTCGTGGGCCATGGGGGCAGATCCCGCCTCGCTGGCGACTGAGTGGTGAGGGCGGGTCAGAAAGACCAGCACAGTCAGCATTTCAGGCCGTGCAGGCCACTCAACAGCTCCTACTCGACACAAAACCAAAGGGCGAGGCCCCGCGCCACAGCGCTACGGAGAAAGCCTGCGGACCCTGCTCTGGGCTCAGCAGCACGCCACGGCTCAGGGGACACTGCTCTGTACAGACCGAGTCTGGCGTGTCTGCGACGACCTAGAAAGTACTGTCATCCTGAATTCGTGTCCTTCTGAACGTTTGCGCCATTAAAACACTCCCCCGCAAGTGCCAGAGCCACTGCCACCCACGGCACGGCCTTCGTTGTGCAGATCACTACAGTGAGTCCGGACCAGCATGGCAGACTCCAGCCCCAAAGGCCGGCGAGGGCTGATTAATTTCACACCCACAGGCTGGACCGGCTGGGCCAGCCAACGGCCCTGCACTGATCACTGACCTCAGCCAGGCCAGGTCAGACTCAGCACTGGCGCTGGTCTGTTTTCTTTTAAACAAGAAAGTCCTGGAAATAACCCAATTCTCAAACAGTACGGAGAATAATTAACTAAATGATGAAAGATCCATTACAGAATACTACACAGACATTACAAGACAAAATGAATCCAAAAGATACCCAAGTTGGGGAATAGTAGTATCTTGAACATGTAAAGAACTTACAGCAATTTAAAAAAGAGTGAAAAAACCCAACTGAAAAAAATCAGCAAAGCACAATCAGGAAATTCACAAAATAGGAAACTCCAAAGCCCGTGAATGTAAGAGAAAACGCTTATTTCCATAATAATTGTGAAATGCAAACTAAGACAGGAGGGGAGACTTCGTCTGCCTTGGACTCGCAAACACGGACACTGTCCAGGGTCACGTGCCTGGAAAGACCGGGACTGGCCCCGGGGGCACCTGCTTGCTTCTTGGACAACTTTGAACTTAGGCTGGACCTTGTGCAGCTAAAACTTTTAATGGTAACAAACGATGCTAATGACAGAGCACTGACCAGACAGCGTGAGGCACATGAGACATACGTGTGTCCCAGCGGGTGAGACGCTGCGGCTGTGCCCAGCCTGAGGGAGGGAACCAGGGAAAAGACGGCGGCGCCTCCGGGTGTGAGGAAGGCAAGGCACACGGGGGGCAGGAAGCGCCCGGACCCGGGACCTGTCCTGAACACTCACCTTTGCCGTCAGGTGACACCTGTCCTCTCCCCAGAGCAGCGCTCTGTCCCAGACTCTGCTGTCCCAGGGTCCCTCCCAGCCGGGCCCCTCGCCCCTCCGAGAGGCCTCTGAAACGGCTTGTTATCTTCCCGCCCACACCCAACCCTGGTGACTCACATTCCTGTAATTAGACTCAGTGGCTCTTTCTAAGTCAAGCTTTCCTGGGGTGTAATTTACACACAGCAAACTTGCCCTTTCAGATGAGGAAATGAGGGAAGGAAAATAGTGCCCAGAAGTGGCTGTGGCCACAGCTCCCAGCAGCCACGCTCCAAGCGGCAGAGACAGGGACGGGGGACACTGACCCCTGCGGAGGGAAAGGCCTGTGAAGACGAGGGAGGCCTGGGACCGACACTGAAGGGACACAAACAGGAAGGACAGAGTGAGCTGGAGGAGAAGGTGTCACAGGAAGAAGCGCCCCGCAGGGCGGGACCCTCTGCCCCTGAACCTCACCTGTGGCCGAGCCACAGGCCCACAGGCGCCCCTCTGCTGCCATCTGCTGGACACACGGGCACTGCACACGCGAGACCACGGCCTGCAGCAGCATGCATTCAAGCAGCCTGTGTAGGCTCCGCGGTGGAAGAGACACAATAAAGGAAGCTTCATGTGCATCAGTCACACCTCCAAGAGCAGAGCAGCAACAGCACCCGGGGGCGCCCTGGTGCAGTGGGGCGGATGCAGGGGTCTCATGTGCACAGGACCGTGCTCAGCAGAGGGGTGACAGGCCTTGGCGTGGCCAGAGGGCCCCCGTAACCATGCCCAAGCTTTCTCCCTGGTGCGCAGCTGCAGACACGGGGGGTGGAGGGGTGAGCTCCAGCCTCAGAGCCATGGGCTGGGGTGACCCAGCAGGACTGTGAATTCTGCCTGGAAATTCGTCCTCGGAACACCCAACCCCAGTCAGAGAGCGTCCATCTCACACGCACGGGAAACACTCACCTCCACGCTCCCGTACGTCAGTCCGCGGTAAGCAGACAGCTTGCACCCAGACCCAGCACCGGCCTCTCGCCGACAGCTCCCTGCCGCACCTGGAGCCGGCCTTCCTCCTCCTGCACCAGCGTCTCCGACCTGCCCCGACTACCCAGCAACCTCCTGCCCCAAGCACCTTCATTTACTCAGCACACACATCACGTAACACAGTGGTTCTCAACCTTCTGGCCCTTTAAATACAGCTCCTCATGCTGTGACCCAACCATAAAATTATTTCCGTTGCTACGTCATAACTGTCATGTTGCTACTGTGATGACCGTCATGTAAATATCTGATATGCAGGATGGTCTTAGGCGACCCCTGTGAAAGGGTCGTTCGACCCCCAGGTTGAGAACCGCTGATGTAACATAAAAAGCAGGTAATATAGCCGCCCGTGCACTGCCACCTGACGTTGGGGCCACATGACCGACCCCGTCTCCTCCTACGGAGAAGCACTGAGGCCCTGACCCCCTGGGGCGCTCCAGTCGGGCACACGGTCAGGTTCGTCAGGGGCATTACAGGCTCCGGAGCAGCTCCACACCATTCTGGCTGGCGCCCTGTTCTTGCCCCTTCAGCACTGAGCAGAAACAGTACCTGGATGTCGCGCTCCAAGCAGAGCCCGGCGGCGGCTCGGCTCAGCCCGAGGAGCGAGGCGTCCCGGTCCCTCCCCGGAGCACAGAGGCCACCCTCCTGCCCTCAGGTTTCCTGACAACCAGCTCCTTCCTTGGCTGCACCTGGGCAGGAGCTGCCCGGAGCCCGATCAGCAAACGGGCCACCTGGCTGTCCTTCCCCAGGAGCACGGCCTGCTGACGGGGCTGTCACAGCAACCGCCCTGTGCCACACCGGACACCCGACTGGGAGAGGGC